TGTACAAGGTTTTGTTTATTGGTTGTTGGTTTATTTTTCACGATTTTTAGCACGATGTTCTTTTTCATGCCAATAGCAAACGTACGTTTCATGTAACCCGACACCTTATAAATCGGATTTGCTACGTTTGCTCTCTTTTTAAAAAAAATTCAACACATTTCTACTTAAACGTTTAGTATCATCTGAATAAGCTTTCATGCCAAACTATAGTAGGAATTTCCTGGTGTTGAACGTCGGGACATGTTGACTCTGGAACTTCGTAGCCTTACCAAGGCTGCGCTGAGATTCTCCGGTACTTGAGCTATCACTCAGGTCGATAGGTGAAAGGTGAACGTATCAAATCATCGTTAGATATCTTGTACGAGTGCTTCTGATCCACGACGACGTGAGTCCCTGCCTGTCTGAAGACCTGCGCGCAGGTGAACGGTTGGAATATGAATCTTCCCTTGAATCTTGAGACGTATCCCTCTGCCTTCGTGAAGGGTGTGGATTCTCTTCTCCGTGAAGAGGAGTGCCTGCACGCAGGCTCACCACGAAGATCCGCGTCTGAGGGTGAAGATGATCCATGTGACCGACTTCTGCGCTACTCCGAAGAACGTCTAGTCCTGCTCCTGTGCGAAGGCTCCTTGGAAGGTCCTTCCGGCATGTCTAGGGCTGCATCATCGTTGTCGAGGTTGCAGTCAAGTGTGAACCTTCACGCAGGCTTCCTCCTTCATGCAGGCTTCCATCTTCGTTTGGAAATGCGATGTGAAGACTGCTGATCCTTCGTGCAGATTCGTCATCGTATCAGCCTTCACGCAGACTTCCTCCTTCACGCAGGCTTCCATCTTCGTTGGGATGCGTGGTGAAGACTGCTGGTCCTTCGTGCAGGCTCATCATCGTAGATGAGGTCGTAGCAGCCTTCACACAGACTTCATCCTTCACGCAGGCCTTCGTCTTTGTGCCGACTGCTTGTCCTTCGTGCAGGCTCGTTGTAGATGGGGCCTTCGCCGCAGCCTTCTCCTATGCGAACCATCGCTCCATCAGCTCCAACATCTGCTGAGTAAACTGCTGCATGAAGATACCCAGGTTGAAGTTCTGCGACGACGGCTGCTGCTGCTGCAGATGACGACGCATCTGAGAGTGATGAGGCTTCTTCCAAGGACTGCTGCACTTGTGAAGAACTGCCGTCTCTGGTACCTGATGTCTGCGTTGATAGATCATCTGACTGCGCTGAGATGACTGCTGACGTCACTGTAGTAGAGGATCTCGTTTTCTTCTTAACTGCTACTTCAGGAATGAGGATGAGTGGCTCGTCATACACGTCTACTTCGCCTGGAGGGATGATCTCTGCAGAGAAGGACCTCGTCTTCTGCGCTGCCCCATGGGAAGACTTCGCCGAAGTCTCATCTGCAGACGGCTTCTTCTCTTTGAAGACAATGCCCTGGTCTTCAAAGACTGTGACGAGGCTACTTCTGACGTTGACGATCTCTTCCTGGAGCCGGAGCTCCCCCTCTGCCACAGCAACATGCTCCATAGTAGCAACCGGCAATTCACTGGAATGGTGAATCTCAGCAGCCAGCAATAAACGGTTATCAGCGCATTCACTCGGTTAGACATGACTTGTAAATGCCGTCTAGACCTGTCCTTAGCACGTCTAAGAAATGGAATATAAATAATTATTAAATTCAATTTCCGATAAATGCTGACAAAGTTGGCAGCGAAAGCTGGAAGAACATGTAGAAGTGCAATTAGGACATAATAGATGAGGATCAGCAGCAGACAACCGGTACCTGCAACGAAGTTTTTCATCAATTGTAAACAAGATGAAATATCACGTCAACAACGTGAATAAACAGATAAATCAGACAACAAAGAAAAAATCCCAACCATATTGCTGGTATATCTCCTAAAATTAGTGGAAAAGGCCTAAAATTAAAAGGATATAGTGCCGTATAGGGGATCCAGGCGCTCTCACAACCGTCCTCTAGGGCGATGAAGGAGCTAGTAACAAGCATGGCTGGTCAGGTGACCAATAAGGGCGCCAAAGAGCAAAGGGAGGCTACTCCCGGGGTGAGTGATTTTACGTCTGCTTTTTTGAAGAGGGCTTCAAAAGGGGATTCAAGTGTTCCACTATCATTCGCAAGAAGAAGGAGACAAGCAAAAGAGCATGAGTCAGGATAAGGAAAAATCTGAATTTTTTAAAACAGGATGTAGATTAGAACAGTCACTTCTCATATAAAATCATGTCAAAATTTTACCACTATTTATATTTGGGCAGTATAGTTAAATACCTAGGTAGCATTTAGCTTAAAGTTCTAGTTTCTCAAGCACATGAGATCAATACACAAATATGTTCACAAGGCTGCTAAACCAACAATATTGTCCTGTTTATTGTATTAATTTCATCTCTCCACTATCCTGTGTCAATATACCGGTCTCCGATCTATGACAGTGTTGGCTGGACTATCTGACTTGTATGACAGTATAATCCCCCATCATGCCTAATGGGAGTAGACTAACAGGTAATCAACTTACCTATGACGTGAGATGACTGACAAGTCTATTAATACTTTCAGCTTTCTTGTCATTACAGGATAAGTGATAGGGACTATAGTATGTATCACTGGCACTTGGCCAAGGAAATTGATACTCTTCACACTCTCACTGCAGGAAATGATTACAGTAAACTGAAACGACCAACTAATAGTTATAAGATGACATCAAGATTGTGTCCAGTAAAGAGTCAGTAATCAAGTCATCACACAGAAATACAGCTCTGTGGCATCACAAAAGGACATTAACTTTACACCCAAGTTTATGTCTTGTCAAGACAAATATCAACCCTAACGAACATTCCTACAAGCTGGTGATACTTGATGTCAACTCCACACTACAGTACATGAGTGTCCTTCTGTTCCTCTCATACAACAGGAAGACTATACCTACCCCTTGGCCAGTACGGTAGTGTGGCATTAGTGTAATCAAAGAGGTTTTAAATTTGAATTAAATGAGATACAAACAGAAGTTTCTTTGGCATTCTAACATGTCATAGCATGTCACTTCCATAGTTCTTTGATAGATAACAGTGATAAAATTTTGGTCTTGGACGACATGTTTGAAAGGTGTGAAGTAAAACATAATAATATGTAGTTGCAATCTCAGCCATGCGAGACAATTAGTGAATATTGCTTGATCAAGGAAGATGAGTCTTGTTATTTCAAAGTTAATCTAACACTTACATTCCTATCTGCCAACATTGTCTTACCATCTGTCATAAACTGTATACGCTCACAATACATTGTTTTGTGGTCCCTTAGATTTAGATTCAAGATATTTCATTCAATAATTGACTGTATCGGTGATTTTAATACAATCCAAGACACATTGAACAAAACAAGACCTCTACAAAGTTCTTGTTGTCCAGTACACAAAGACCCAATATAGCCAATGGCGGGGCCAACATGTTTTGGGGCTCTTTCACAATGTTTACAATATTAGTTTTAAAATATCTCTTGAAAGGAAAATGACAGACTTGAGTCTTCTATCCAAGTTTTCTCCTAATCTTTGTGAAGTAGTGTTCAGTAAGCCGTTATAGGCTGAAGCTGAGTAAATCAGGGTTACTGTCCCAGTTCAGCATTTGAAATTATGAAGGCAGCTTAACATGGATTATGCACAAGTTGCTTGCCAAGTAATAAGCAGTGTTGTGCTGACAATCAAATGGAGATTAGCGCCTCCACAAATCACTGGATGGAACATCAGAGAGGTGGACAACAACATGGACTTGTCAAGATGCTTAACCTAAACATGGAAGAGACACATGCATTATGCCAGGGATTGTAGCATCTCTGAACAAACACTCCACAAATCTCACCAACCTGACACCTTTTGTTATAGTCACATATTTCAACAGGTCAAGGGAATATTGGATCTGTAGATTTTTCAAAGGCCTAAGGAAGCCCAATGTGATTTACCAATTTGGAAATAAATCCATGCTTTGACACCAAATAAAGAACTCACTGCTGCTAACTTCCCAAATAACCTCAGGTTAAATCTCTGGCAGGTGTGTTTGGAAACAAACAGTAGCAGCTACAACTAACATATCTGAAATCATATGTCACCGTTTCCTTCTTCCACTACTCTCTTTGTTCAATCAACATTACAATTATATAAACACATTAAACATCCATGCCTACCTAACTTTCATCGAAGGGTGCACTGAGGAGACAACCCCAACCCGAATCGAGGTCAACTTAACCCTTATGAAATTTAATGAAATTATTGTTCACATTCACCAACTGAATCATGAGTTTTGCATAGATTGAATACATAAAAGACATATTGTTCAAATTATCACCACTTTGAATATTTGATATGAAAATTACCATGATTATCAAATAGAACGAGGCTCAACATGCAAAAATACATGAACAAAATACTATTGAATTTCTAGTTATATAATGCTTCGATAAAAAAAATCAGATTAAAGAGGCTATATCAACTGTTCGCCCAGTTTTTATCCAACATGCCTGTAAAAATATCATATGTCTGATCACTACTTTCATATTCAGTATTTCCCTCATTTGGTTTCGTGTTTTATGAAAAATATGCAATGTCCTTCCTTCTTTCAGTTTTGGTATTTGATAGTTTGTAATAAATATACATACTTGAGCTGAAAAGCATTTCTTCTTGTGTGAGTCTATGATTATTACATCAGCAACCTGTCTCTAATCCTATTCCTGAACACAGGGTAAGTAAGTTGTCTTGCCTCAAAGCGTCAGAAGGGTCATTTCTGTACCCATCTTCTATTCGTGATATAGCATGTTACACAAAATATAGGGGACTTTTGAAGTAGGACTAATTACTCAGAGGCACATTTCAAGACAAGCATAGCCACCGACAATTATTCCCTAATCCTGAACCACACTGCCACAATCTAACTTAACTTCTAAATCACATGACAATGACATCACCCTACCTAATAAATGTGCCCAGTCACAAAACTTCCTGCTTGGTAATTCAGTTCATATCATCATCTCTCATGCATGACACTGCTACATACAGGCATCTTGGAATTGTGTTAAGGAGGACCCGTGTTCCAGCTCTTTGTCCTAAACGTGTTCACAATTCTCTGTCTTTCAATCAGAATTCATTCCACGACAGCTATAAAGGTACAGTAAAGGTCCAATATTTGACAATCACATCGGCTGTGTTATAGTGTTTGGATATCAGGTATATTTCAACTGGTGGAGAGAGCCAGCCTGGCCCTAGGTCAAGCTAGATAACAAAGCATCTGCTGGCAAAACTTCAAACAACTCAGTGGGTAGAGTAGGGAGGGCTACTATTACATCTTGTCAGAGGTGATCATATATCTGCAAAGCGTTGGACACGATATGGGTTGTACAGGCCTAGGGTGTTGCTAGAGGCTCTACTCGCATTCCCTCTTGTGTGAAGGTAAGTCTGCTAAACACCAGAAAGGGCTGTAGTTACACAACAAAGCACAATCAACAATTATTAGATCTACTGGTTGGATTTGGGCCATGTGGTAGGACAAGGTGATCAGATGGTGGATGATTGTGTTTATCTGGTTTTGACCGTGTGACAGGTGAGCCAGCCCACCTTTCACTTCCACGTAGCTGTATCAGACCTCACTACTCATGAGGTGTCAACAGTCTAGGTTTTGTTTGGCATACAGGTAGGATATGTGTGATTTGTTCATGTAGGAGGGGCAGGTAAAGTCAAGATGGTATTTACTTTGTGATCAAGAAACTTCTCCCCCTGGAAGGTCACAGGAAGCCACAAAAGCTGATGTCTATACGGATAAATATGACATTATTGATAACAGTGTGTTTGGTAGTGGAATACAACGACATACCAGTGACTACTTGTCTGAAGTATCATATGTTATGTAAGATGTAAGCATTAGGTCTCAATGTGGTGACTAAAACTAATTATCATAACAAATAGAAGATTAACACTCACTTTAAATAACTTGAACACAATACATTAAACATAATATCAAAATACTTATTACTCAATATGAATGATGACCAAGAACAAAAGAGTACAAACTGTATCAAACATGACAAGACAAACTGACAATCATCTGTCCATTTGATAGTGATAGTATGGTCTTCAATATGTGCAAACTGTTGACAATCCCCTATTAAGGTATTCCTGGTATGTCAAGTAAGGTTGGAGAAAGAGATCTTTGATCCCTGAAAGTTCATACACTAAACTAAGGCGTACATAGCAAAAATAAACAGATCACAAAATAATATATTAGAGAAGTTGGTTTGCATGTGTTCACTGGAGCAGTTTTTCCACAGCTGGTTAGTTATCTACACTGAGTGTCGAGCAAACTGAGTTAGGGCTATGTGAATCTGTCTCCACTGATGACTGGCTATGTATGTCAGTTTCAAACACCTTAATGCACAAACACTCAAATAGCATTTAAGTCATAGTGGGTTAGTCAGGTGGATGTATCATCTGATAACAGCAATCAGTTTAGCATCGAGGGGTTTCACTTCAGTGTGTCATACTCATACAATGCCAGTGCGTATCAGGTAGGTCTACTCCATGACATTGCTATAACTATAACAGCTGAAAATACCTCATATAATAGAGAGTAGTCTGTCATAGAGAGTGACATCTTCCAATACCACCAGATCTCCACATCACCATTTCAAACACCATATTGATATTTATAATGTAATTTATGTCACTAAACATATTTAAACCATACCGAAAGGTTCAATCATTTTGTAGACTGTTCATTCACATATTGATCCAGTGCCTGACACATAAGTTGTTGATTTTTAACATTTGACTGCCATGCATACCACTGATGACTAAGTATTACCCTTTGAGAAGAAATAGTGACATGGCTTTGCTAGTTTGAATATAAAGGTTTGTCCCACAAGCAAAATCCTTAACAAAATATGAAACTTCTCAAAATCAGAGAATACATGTTTAAGAATAAAGAGGTGACCCACATCCTTCCTATAAGATTACCAACTTCAGCATGCTGTAGTCAAAACCTGAAAAATCAAAATCAGACTGAAAGAATAGTCATGTAACTGACACATTTAACATTCCATGCATATCATGAAGAAATATTTAGATTGATATCATCCACAAATGAAAGCTTGAAAGCCCTACCTGAGTGTGGCAGTTGTGTGGGTCTAGGAGTTGATTTCACCTTGGTGTGGGGGGATTTTGGTACTTCCGTCACTTTTTCCTGCTGCCTATCAGCCAAAGAGTCTGGGTCTGGCTCAACATGATGACCAGTGTCCTCTGTGTCCACCAACTTATGGTTGTCCTCCACAGAGCTGGACATTCTTGTGGAGACATAGTCGGCATGGGTTTCAAATTTGCACTTGTTCTCGCCTGACACTGCATCTCGACATGTAAACAGGTAGCAGTTGTGTTTTGTCTGAAATACAAGGTTCTTGTTTGATAAAAGTACATTATGTATCTCACACCAGTAAAATATATAACAGACAGAGATAGATTAAGTTGCTGAAATGAAAATATGTTTGACATAAACATGTTTCTCAATACATGTATAATGACATACAGTGTATATTAGTACTGACCCCAGGGAATAGGTTTCCTTTTAAAAAAACAAAGAAATTTCGACTTGCCAAAATGGACTAAACTTGTTTGGAATATTTTAGATATTTTGATTTCAGTGTCTGTCAGAGAAATTAACTTCCTACATTATAAATTTGTTGACAAGCTAATCCCAGTATAATGCCCTGGCTGTAATGATTCTGCTTGAGGATATATTAGCTATTACAGTCTATGACAGCAGCCATTAGACATATGCTGAAGTCCAGTAAACGTCTTTACAGTCTAGAGAGTGAGTATGGTTTTATGCATCTTTTAGCAATATTCCAGCAATATCATGGCGAGGGAAACCATCAATGGACTTCACACACTGTAAACATGAGGGAAATCGAACCCAGGTCTTAGGCATGAGGGGCAAACACTATAACCAACAGGCTACCTCACTGCCCAGTTCAATCTAGTGAGATCAGCCAATAAATGCCATATGATTACAGTAAAACCTACTTATAAGGAGCGAAATACAGGCAGGTTTAGGCACAGAATGTTTTAAAAATATAATGCCTGAATAAACGATCATAGGAAAAAAAGTCCTCAGTAAAAAGTCCTTGGTAAAAAAAAAGTACTGGTGAAAAAGTCCTTTTTACTGATTTAGTTATTTATTTGACAAGACTGACATCAAAGATCTAAAAAATAAAATGAAGAAATCACACAGAATGACAGATCAAATTTTTAAATTAATGTTTCATCTTTTAAACGACATCCAAAAATACATGATTTGCTCACGGATTAAATATCCAGTGTGTCAGTGTTTACTGATCACCGATTATAGTGTGATTTTAATTGATTGCATCTCACCCAGAACTAGTTACCAGTAAAAATACTGAAGAATCTTAATTCTTGTTAATATGAATATTAATTAAGAAGATTAATTACGTGGACTGGCATCTGTTCATATTGGGTATAAATATGTACCCTGGTAAAACATGTAGTACCAATTCCATTCCATGATGGAGGTCACTCTGACCAACAAAGGTGGTTTGAAACTGGTCTTAGATGGTCACATGTACACCAAACACTGTCTGGAAGACCATCAAATGGTGCCAGAAGGAACAGACGACTGTGGCAGTTAACATTTGACTTCATAGATACCAGTAGGCCTAGACTATCTCGTGTGATCATATGATTCATTATGTAACTCATAACTAATGTTAACTGTAGTCATTTCATATGATCTTTATATCAACATTTCAATATGTCATAGGACCTTTACATTTGTTGTATGCATGACGATGAATAAAGAATAAATAAAAAAGCATTGTTTTTCTAATACATATCTGTTAGAAAATGAAAAGGGGACTTTTTTACCGGGAGAATTTTAGGAATATGTTTAATTGGATTTCTAGAATAAACAACCTTGACCAGCTATCAAGTGCTTGGTTTCATTCAAGAGAGACAACTCCGTTAATCCTTTATCATTAGTTTGTGAAGAGTTATCCCCTTTGTTTACTTGCTTGCAGACGACATTTTCAGTGATCCTCAGTATGGATGATTTAGAGAAGAGGAAGTTGATTTTAGAGTATTATAACAAGGACATCAGATCAACTAAAGTGATTTCAAGTATAACAGGCATCCCTTTCTGCACTGTTTATCGTGTTTTGAAAAATATTGCAAATGGATATGGCATTGAGCACCAGGGAGGCGCAGGTAGGCCCAGAAAATTGACTGTCGGTGACAGGAGGCAGCTTGGTATTCTTGTTTCTAAAAACAAACGAAGGAGTTTAGAAAACTTAAGGCTGGATATGATTGATAGAGGAACTGTGGCTGTCTGTAAGGAGACAATTAGAACTGAGCTGCATGCAATGGGTTGGCAGAAAGTCAAGGAATTCCATCACCGATCATGAAACCTGAACAAAAGGAACGAAGATTGAACTGGTGCTTACAGCATAGAAATTTTAACTGGGACAATGTGATTTCCTCAGATGAATGTTCTGTGTGGCTGTTCCCTAATACACTGAAATTTTGGACCAAACAAACTGAAAAACCTTTGTATCAGCACCCAAAGTACAGTCCGAAATTTAATGTGTGGGGTGGCATATCTGTGTTAGGGGCAACGCCCCTCTGTGTATTTGAAGGGAATATGAACAGTGAGCGGTACACAGATATTCTCGAGGGACATTTACTTCCATCTGCTCACGTGTTCTATGGAAACTTTTGGATTTTCAAGCAGGACAACGACCCAAAATATTGTTCAAAGTATTCACAGGCCTGGTTTCGGACCGAAAATATGACATTATTAGATTGGCCAAGCTATAGCCCTGACCTTAATCCAATAGAAAATGTTTGGGGACTTATGAAGGAAAGTGTCAATAAGTAAAATCTGACAAATATTGCTGAAATGAAAGAAGAGGTGGTCCGATATTGGGACAGCATGGACCACGACTTTCTAACTTCTTTGATCAGTAGTATGCCCCACCGCATTGAAGCCTGCATTGCAGCCCATGGTGACTTGACAAAATACTAACTGTTCACCTGTCTTTGAATCTGGAGTTATGTTCTGCTAATATTCACATTAATACGTGAGTAATGAGTGAAAAAAATTAAAAAATTACAATCTTTAAATTCTCAATAATTTCTGGTTGTACTGTAATTGTAGTGCTGCAGACGTCAGACACTTATCACAAGCACAGACATGTTAGTGGAGAGACAGTTTTATGAACAGAACTTTTGATGCTAGTTGCACTCATAACTGCTGATTAGTATTCACTCAGAAAACGTTTTGGCTACACAGAACACACAAGTGAACCTGTGCAGCTCAGGTAACAATGCTGGTGGTCATCATGCTCATAACCACTGATTAAAGTGTTCAAGAAAGTATTCTTGTTTTGCCACCTGAATTAACAGTGTTTTATTCAATGCTGAAATGTGTATCCAGTTTGTACAGATGTAAAGAATGGATGCTGAAAAATAGATACATTGCATCCTGATGGATGCACCTAATATTGATTGTACCAATTTGTTTGATAAGAAATATAAAGCTCCTGTAATTAAAGTAATTATCAAATCTTATTGTACCGTATGGTATACTATTTCTGAACATAAGAGGACATATATTTTCTATGAGGACCCTTGCCCTTAGTTTAGTCGATCATGGTAAAAGCACGCCTGTCCTAAGACCAGCACAAATCATGTTATGTCTTTCCATTAGAATCCATAAGGTGTGCGTGACCATGAAAATTCATATAGGTGTATTTGAGCTGCCTGATAGCCTGAGGCATTTCTCTTGCCCTTGTTGTGTATATGGCTCACTTTATTGTGCCCTCGCACTGAGCTCAGTGAATGACACACTGCTAATGAGAGGGGAGGGCAATTTACACTGCCCAAACAAACCTTTCTGGCAATACATAATCACTGAAGCATGGCTAGCTGGACTTTGAAAGACAATACACTGATAACAAGATAAGTTGATTCAAGGGGCCACTCAACACTGAACTGGTGGAACTTCATGAGATACAGTAGGTGTTTCTTATAGGACCTTCTGGTGAGTAGACGCCATTTCATCCAGTCTGTAGATGATAACATTAAAGAAACACTGACCTGTTTTATTAAGCTGAAAATGTTATGGTTTGCAGAGTGTATCTAAATACAATGTGGCTCACATTATTCTGAGACAGATTACTAGTATCTTACTTCTAATTTAAAAATATGAGTCTCTCTTAAACAGCTGTTGACAATATAATTATCATGATAATCTCATTATATTCTAATGATCTGAATCATTATATTTTCCTCATCCTTATATAAACAAGCTGTTACCATAGCATATTATAATCAACAGTATATTTAGAACCAGCATAGGTTACAAATGTTATCCAATTTGGGATATATGTTTCACAAAGTTTTGTGTTTGTGTTTTCCTTGTAATATTTGACAGCTAATGGTACATTTGTTGAAGCTACATTAAAAACGAACGTTTCATGAATTATTCTTCTGGTATTGATCAGTGATGTAAATGACACTATACAACTGATAGTGATAGTAATGAATATCTACCTCTTTCCAAAGTTCAGGGTGTAACAAATAACCGATAGATTGTATCATATCCGGGAATATTTCCCATTTGCATCAGTAACATTATATAGCGCTGTCAAACACCATAAATTCCGCTAGGAACACATTTCGTGGTTACTTCTGTAATCTATCAGATCAAGTACTTACTTTGTTTTCATAAACAGCGAGGTCACAACCTTTCGAAGAACAACATTTTGATACACATTCTTCGTTTGTGGCAATATTTTCGAACGAAGCGAGAAATATAGCACCGGCTTTTCTAGAATCTTCGGTCCTTATTATCTTCCTTTCAGGTTTACGAGTGTTGCACGACGGCTTGTTTTCATTATTAACGAGATCCCGATTGATATCAGTATCTTCATGTACTGTCGAATCGGAATGTTTATCCGAATAAGATTTTTTCTGAGGGGATGAAGATAAATCGACATCACTTCCGAGCCGCTTTACAAGGTCATATATAAGCTGTGGGTCTTTCAGAAGTTGAGAAATATCATCGGGATATTCTTTAGCTGCCATCGAAGGCACCAGAATAAAAAATAAGGCTGCAATTATCCTCATTTTCGCAGTCTGGTTGAATTATTATCACAATATTTTACACACAAATAAACATCAAAACATGGCTTCTTACTAGACGCATGCGCATTGACACCGGGAATTGTTACATTATACTATTCCCCAAACGGGCTATTACATTTCTTAGTGCGAGGATACAAGCCTTCAGTCGTCCGTGTTACAGAAGCTATCAAAACTTGTAAAACGTGGATCACCTTCGTTCCCAACCTAAAGTTTTAAGCTGAAAAGAGCACGCACAAGTTTGTTTTAGTAACTTACAATAATCCGACAATTCTTATTTAGATTAACATGAATGTTGAAACCAACAAAACAATATATTCTACTGTACTTGTTTGTTTGTTTTTAAATATATATTTGAAGAAAGACTTACTAAAACATGGTAAGTTGCTGTATGGTTATCTTATCTATGTGTTATTGAGTCAGGTATACTTCAACTGGTTGTGAATATCAGTGTTTTTTGAAAATAGACTGCATGACTACATTCAAAGTGCAAAGGCGGATCCAGAATTATCCATAATTGTAATTCTGTAATATCAACACGAATCAGTATGTGACGTTAACAATTTCATGTTTCAAATGTTATTTTATGATCTTCGAAAAGTAATTCTTTACCCAAATGTTGGTCTAAAACAATATATTATATTTCGATCTTTTGTATTTTATAATTTGCTGTTCTTCAATACATTCCCTGTATATCAACGTACATCTCAAGTTTTTTAAAGATAGGCATTCAAAATATGTTTCGAGGAAACTAGTATGACAACTAATTAAAATAGTTCTACCTATATAAACATATTCTATATGTATGTATCGATATCATTTTAAAGTAACATCACAATTATTTTTAGATACAATTTTTCTTTCTTTTTCAGGTGAAAGAGCGTCGCGACAGTTGCGAATTATAAGGCGTATTAATCGAGTCAAGTCGCGTAAGCAACACTATGAGTCGATTTCCCTTCAGTAGAAAGACAGTTGGCTTCTATCAAGTCATGGCTACACCGGTACCGCAAGCGCCCGAACCAAGTTGTACAATGGATTATAGACAGCACGACTCGAATAAGAAGTCTGTGTTATTCAGAAGGGAACAAGATAAGGAAACTAAGAAGAAATATTTCACACAAAAATATGGACAGGACCAAATGATGTTGATTAGAAAAAGGCTGGCAGTAGAGGACTGGGTGTTTGAGCAGTTACGGGATTTATACAATTGTGTGGTATGTAGCAGTTGGATTCTTTTTATTTATGTGCTGATATAATCATTTGGATGTTTTACTTTTGTTGTCAATTATTAGGTTCTGAATTTTGGACTACCACTTCCTAAGGTGACATTTGTATTCGTTGTATTCATGTGTACAACAATGCAATCAAGGAGCAGCTCGGTGTTAGATTCTGTCAAGCTGTCGTGAAAAAAACTGTCCTTTATGACCCCCTTGGCTGTGTGATAAACATTGTCCATAGGTAGCCAGTATGTATAATAATGTTATTTTGACACTGTCCTCGAATATAGGTATCACAATGTTTGTTTGTGCACCGATAACTATAGGGCACCCCATGAACACAGACGCCGCGCACACTGACGAGGCACTTTCTCACAACGTTTCGGTTGAGCGAGGAATGAAACCTTATCTTTTAAGGAAAAATAGAGTTGTCGAATATTTCGCATGATATAACTTAGTTCACCCAAAGTTTTGATATATTGTCCTTCAGTTGATAAGCAATAATACATATCTACAGCTTTGTGAAGTTGTCGGATCATATTACCGTAAGTTTGAAACAAATACTGTTAGCTCAATCAATTTACCACTGTTAATATTCTAGAGAGTTCACAAATGAGCCTCTAATGGTTGTGTGGCACTAAGTGCAAGTGTGATACTAGTAGTGTAGGCTCAGTCCACAGTAAGCCAATATGATAGTAAAGTTGTTTATCTTATTTGTAAAATTCTAATTAGCTATTAATGGCTATGTGTCTGTCCAAGGTGACTCGATATTTTGATAAAGTAGGACCTAGAAGAGTTCATTCAGTGTCCAAAATACCGCATTTGGAATATTATCTATATGACTATTTCAGTAACAGTGTACTTCATTGGTCTGTTACTGAGCAATAATCACATGTAAGATAATCAAACATTTTAACATTGCTCACAATTTGTGTAATAGTGTGTAACTTCTACTTATCACGACATGGTTATGTATTTAATGATCAGTTAATAATCGATGGACAGTAGGTTTCCTTCAGAAAGTCCCCATAATAGTAGGTCTAATAAAGTAAGAAGTATTGCAATAACCGCACAGTTAAGTAATTCATGATGTGGGTGTCATGGAGACCCTTAGATTTGTTCAGCTCTGTTTGTGCCTTTGTTACTCAGTGGATGAGACAGTGTCTCTTTGATACTTGACTGATGACCAACAGTGGAGTTCTGGTCTACAACATGTACAGAACCAAAACTGTGTCTCTATATTACTATTACGGTTTACTCTTTGTATAAACTGAAGGGCACTGTAACGGTTTTGTAATGTAACATATGCAACCATTGTTCTTGTTTTATGTGACCTTCTGTTGTCTGTAGAATGTGTCACAAGGTGTTAAATGTTTTGTCAAGCATGTAACTCTTCAGCTGTTGTTAAGGACTTATCCTAGCTATATGTACCTGTCATTTGCAGCATGGCAGTATACTTTGTAATGTGAGAGGTTGGAACACTTTGGCAGCCTTGAAGCAGGAGTAATGTTCTCCCGCAATACAGGGCCTTTGTTTGTGTTAATCAGATAAGCAGGTTCAAATTGTGCTGTACCGGTAGACCAGGCAAGCTCTATCATGCCACATGGCCACTGGAACAAGCACACTTGCTGGATGTACAGAGACCTCCTACTCCATAGTCATACAGCCTTTTGTTTGAATAAGCTGTGCTTAGTTATGTTATTGAACTTCTGCATAGTATTCAGTGTACATGATGTTGGGGATGAAATGAGAGAAAAAACATTAGCTATCACAATTATTGTAAGTCATTGGAGTTTGACTGGAGCAATAAATATACTGTTTTGTGAGAATTCTTTTGGCACTATTTTTGAAGGCAGTTGTATTGTTGAAATCCACAACATCCTACAGAATGGAACATTCATGGTTTAATGTCTATCAAACCTTTTTTGTTTCAATGTATAAAGGTTGCAAAATGTTATGTTAAAAAAATCAAAGAAAAAAGACTTACATCAGGGTTTTACCTTCAATTACAAAAGTGACGATCCAGGGGACCCGCTCAATAAATTGTATGGGTCCTTGCTGGTAATATGAGGGTCCTGTAAAGTATTGGAATGGTGTAGTGTTGTGTACATTCAGATAATAATGACTTCAGAGCCTGGCATGAATGAGTGGTCATGACTGATGGGTGAAATAACACACACAGATACTATTCTTGGTACCCTCTCTGTATTTTTGTTGGTCTCTCTGGACGCAATACAAAATGTATTTATGGTTTTCTGTGTCCATTCTCTACATTTGTGCGTACTGAACATACATTTGGGTGTCACATAAAGCACTGTTACAAAGTAATAATCTACAAAATTAAGCATGTATTGAGATGAAAGCAGATGTAAAAAAGTATATTCTTAACAGATTTGCTCCTCTTCAACGTGACTGTGCTTCAATAGTCGTCTGCAGTGCTTCCTGTGAAACAGAAAAAACATTGTGAATCTGTTTCTCGAGAAGGTTTCTTATTGTGGCAGAACTGCTGGCCACCAGAGTTTTGATGAGCGGGACAAGAATGGTTTGAGTGAACTTCAAACTGTTATATGATAATTATGTCTGGCATGATGTAACTGTTGCTGTTGATGATTGGCATAAGTATACATTTTAATTGGTATTCAAGCCAAAGAACAATTATTTTCCCACCTGAATCAGATGAAAACTGTATTGTGGATAAGTTAAAGTCTACTTGTCCAGATGATCGACAGAAAATGGTGTTTTGCCACAAACCTGAAAACATATTTAATATTCCCTTCCCTGGGCCATAAACAAATGAAAGCCTTATGTTTTGAGCAGCCACTGCAGCCAATAATTACTTCTTATAATAGTAAAGCACAGTTCACAGTTAGAACAACACTGACAAGGACGTTCTTGAAGCTATATTAACTTCATATTATATATCTGCAAAGTTTTAAGGTTGTGAAAGGCCAACCACACCTAATTTGTTTTTGTCAGACCTGATCTCTCACATTACAAGTCTGGTGTTGATTTTTTTCTCAGATCCACTGACCAGAAAATGAAGTCACATTTCACTAAACAGTGAACACAAGTAAAATTTTAGTTTTCAGTATCAGTTCTTAATTCAACATGAGTTTTATTTAAGCATTTTATATGTGTTTGACCTTCACTGAGCATTTAAATTTGTAGAGGCAGTTATTGGTAACAGGATGTTAAATCTATACTTTGTATCAGCCTTTTGTTTGTACCACCCATATTGTGTAACTTGCGCTGATAGTCACTGAGGCTTGCTTCTCTAGGAATTGTCCTGTGTCACGTCTATACTAGATGCTGATAGTCACTGAGGCTTGCTTCTCTAGGAATTGTCCTGTGTCACGTCTATACTAGATGCTGATAGTCACTGAGGCTTGCTTCTCTAGGAATTGTCCTGTGTCACGTCTATACTAGATGCTGATAGTCACTGAGGCTTGCTTCTCTAGGAATTGTCCTGTGTCACGTCTATACTAGATGCTGATAGTCACTGAGGCTTGCTTCTCTAGGAATTGTCCTGTGTCACGTCTATACTAGATGCTGATAGTCACTGAGGCTTGCTTCTCTAGGAATTGTCCTGTGTCACGTCTATACTAGATGCTGATAGTCACTGAGGCTTGCTTCTCTAGGAACTGTCCTGTGTCACGTGTATACTAGATGCTGATAGTCACCGAGGCTTGTTTCTCTAGGAATTGTCCTGTGTCATGTCTATACTAAATGCTGATAGTCACTGAGTCGTGCTTCTCTAGGAATTGTCCTGTGTCTGTCATGTCTATACTAGATGCTGATTGCTTCTGAGGCTTGCTTCTCTAGGAACTGTCCTGTGTCACGTCTATACTAGATGCTGATAGTCACTGAGGCTTGCTTCTCTAGGAACTGTCCTGTGTCATGTCTATACTAGATGCTGATAGTCACTGAGGCTTGCTTCTCTAGGAATTGTCCTGTGTCACGTCTATACTAGATGCTGATAGTCACTGAGGCTTGCTTCTCTAGGAACTGTCCTGTGTCAATGTCTATACTAGATGCTGATAGTCACTGAGGCTTGCTTCTCTAGGAACTGTCCTGTGTCACGTCTATACTAGATGCTGATAGTCACTGAGGCTTGCTTCTCTAGGAACTGTCCTGTGTCATGTCTATACTAGATGCTGATAGTCACTGAGGCTTGCTTCTCTAGGAATTGTCCTGTGTCACGTCTATACTAGATGCTGATAGTCACTGAGGCTTGCTTCTCTAGGAATTGTCCTGTGTCACGTCTATACTAGATGCTGATAGTCACTGAGGCTTGCTTCTCTAGGAACTGTCCTGTGTCACGTCTATACTAGATGCTGATAGTCACTGAGGCTTGCTTCTCTAGGAATTGTCCTGTGTCACTTCTATACTAGATGCTGATAGTCACTGAGGCTTGCTTCTCTAGGAATTGTCCTGTGTCACGTCTATACTAGATGCTGATAGTCACTGAGGCTTGCTTCTCTAGGAATTGTCCTGTGTCACGTCTATACTAGATGCTGATAGTCACTGAGGCTTGCTTCTCTAGGAATTGTCCTGTGTCACGCCTATACTAGATGCTGATAGTCACTGAGGCTTGCTTCTCTAGGAATTGTCCTGTGTCACGCCTATACTAGATGCTGATAGTCACTGAGGCTTGCTTCTCTAGGAATTGTCCTGTGTCACTCTATACTAGATGCTGATAGTCACTGCTTGCTTCTTCTAGGAATTGTCCTGTGTCGTAGATGCTGATAGTCACTGAGGCTTGCTTCTCTAGGAATTGTCCTGTGTCACGTCTATACTAGATGCTGATAGTCACTGAGGCTTGCTTCTCTAGGAATTGTCCTGTGTCACGTCTATACTAGATGCTGATAGTCACTGAGGCTTGCTTCTCTAGGAATTGTCCTGTGTCACGTCTATACTAGATGCTGATAGTCACTGAGGCTTGTTTCTCTAGGAATTGTCCTGTGTCTGTCTATACTAGATGCTGATAGTCACTGAGG